CGTAATTCCTACTGCAGAGACACATAGCATGTGAAAATCAACCACCGAAATACAAAATTCACATGGTAACAAATAATCTAATCATTGAAATAACAAACAACCACGATACTTGCTGAAACAAAACAGTACAACACACCAAAAAAAGGAACAAAACAACTACACATAAACATGCATCCAACACACAAAGCACTGGACAATAAGTCTGACATAGCAAAGCACAAAGGTAACACCCGACGCCCAACAATGACATAGCACGACCGCTATTCTGATTACATGCACTCAAGTTGCGTCATAAGTAGACAGCAGCCAATCACAGCCATCGAATCCCAACCGGCGAGGCGATATGCCTCAGCCACCGACTACAAACCGCCACAAAAGTCAATTCCCACGGTAAGAACATGCCACAGATGACAACGAGCATGCAGTAAAAGACGGAGGTACGATAAAATGTGCAAAATATTCCAGTGGATGGAAGACCCAAAAAAAACTCTTCATAGAAGAAACCATGGAAATACACCGAAAACCCAGGACGAAAACACAGTATTATTGAAAACAGAGACTACAAATCCGATTTTGTAGTCTTTTTGTAGTCTCCAATACAAGCGGACTTTAAAGCGGACATTACACAGTCTAGTCAAGACTACAACCAAAAAGTCGCACACATTCTCGGCATTTCGATTCCCACGGGGTACAACGTTCGGCATGCACCCAATTTTGCGGGTAAGGACTCATCCTTCATAAACTCAGGACTCGTAATCTGACATGCCAGTACTGTACGATGAAGACCTTCCATCCGCTTTGCAATGGGTCTCCTAGTGACTGGAACCAATGCCACTGCCCCAATCGTATCCGCCTCCCTACAGGGGATTGTGTATGGTGTGTGGATCATCATCCTCTAGTGCATCAGACAGTCCTCATTATATTACTATAGGTTTCTCTACGTGCACCTTCGCTATCACGATCTGGGTGCTGGCATTACAGAAAGGTATACGAGTTCACTATGGCATGCTCATCGTAGCATGCACATTATGGGGCTTGAGCACCATTGTGTGCATAATCCCAGTCCCTTGCTCAGGAGTGGGCCTGACCGTATATGAACCCAGAGGATGATCCTTGACATCTACCTCACGACACATGCATTTGTCGCATATATGTTCTCCAGGCCATTAGGGCCGGAAGAGTCGCTTTCTTCATTCAATAAGCCACCCCAGCTGCTTGATAACACAATTTATGGTCTGCAGACTCTCATTGGTGATGCCGTTGTGGTATGTATTAGAGCATGCCTATCTAGATTTCCTGTTTATAGGTTGGTTTGGTTTGGTAGATCTACCGCTGCTACATCGTCTGGAAGAGCTGGGTGGCAGTCGTGTTCCCCTTGCTTTGCTGGGGTGCATCTTTGGGTGAGTCTCGATATCATACCCAGCAAGTATTGCAATACCAAAAGGAGACTATAGGGAGCATCCTCTACATTCTCAATTCATCTGCCAAGGGCCAGACTGGTCCACAGATCATACTCTTCTACTCGCTGACCTTAGCAACAAATCTATCTGCTACGCGTGAGTATATGATATCCAGGTTCCAGGGGGAAGTCCTCACCGCTAGCATATCATGCTTTAATGTGCAGTGGCTTTGGCGTACCGCATCTGGCGGGTGGACCGCGAGGTGGCAAGCACACGCATGTCCAGGGTGGGAACCGCAAATGTCTTCTGTCCGCTGCTCGTGGGTTATACTAGAGTCCGGATTGCTCTATTCCACGTTGCTCATCCTCGCTATGATCACCGTGACACATGCCATCGCTGTTGAATATATCGTGAACAGCATTGTGAGAACCATAAATGACATTGGTATCCCGGAGCATGTGGCTGACTGATTGCTATGGTCCCTCTCACACAGATTCCAGCCTTCATTGGTCTGACCTTTGATATAGTCTTCGTACATGTCGGTATCACAAGGCACCATTCGAAGTTTGGAACCAGCACAGATAACTTCCCATTGAGTGCTATCGTCTTCAGAGAGGCATCTCGAGAGATACTCAAAAAGCCCAGCCGCAGCGGTTTTTCTGGAATGGGCCCCCAGTCTACGGCTGAGATCACGCTTGGGAATGGATCCGTTGAGCATGCTTGATACTCACTTAGCCTCAATCAACACGTTTGCTGCTCTGACAGAACTCAAAGGCCGGCAAGAACTTCATGCGAAATACAGACCAATAGTTCGCATCAGTGTGTATTGTCCCTTGGTCAGACCCATATTTTTTTCGCTTATTTTTTGTTTTATGTTAGGGCCTAATGAGTTGTCCGTCACCGATGCTGACCTCCTGCCTTCCATCATGGGTCCAGATGGAGTGCCAAAAAGACCATGTGAGTGCTTCCTCCCGTGACGTCTGCTGTGGCTCTCTACAGCCTCTCTCTATCTACTGGTGTGGGAAGGCAGGCGTATTTCTGGAAAGAAAGGTGCTGGGGCGAAGGAGGCGAAGGGCAGGTCATTGATCGGTGCCCGCAACAAGGATCAGCATGCAGAAGTTAGGAGAGTGTGGAACCAGGCCTTCACTCCCACTGCCGTGAAGGGATATGAACCCGCCATAGCCAGAAGGGCTGCACAATTGGTGGATGAATTAAAAGGTAGTCTAGAGAAGTATGGCAATACTGGCAGGGTTGACCTAGCACAGTGGACTAGCTTCTTTACGTGGGTGACCTCTATCACTGCCCTCCTAATGCAGCTGAAACATGTGTCTTACAGATTTGATATCATGGGTGACATAGCGTAGGCTGATTTCAACAGTCACATAGGTGGTGACGCCTAATAGCCTTTGTGGTGCTATTTCTACAGCTTTAGTGGAGGGTTTGAGCTCATGTGCAATGGGGATGAACATCAGTTGGTACAAAATCTGGAAAAGGGTCTCTAGTGAGTAATGCTACCTTTCGGATGTCGTCGACAGATTGTCCTGACAAGCCGACGTATGTAGCCTTCCAGCCTTGACCCAGCAGATTCCTTGGGCGTCAGACTTCCTCCCATACTTCCCATTCCTCGGGCAATACATGAAAGCATTGGCCCAGTTAGGACACAAACAAGCCACAAGGCGCCTAAATGAGGGCTCTGTGTACGATGATCTCTTTTATTATCTGGTAAGCTTGGCACAATGAGCTCACAATGGTGTACTGACCTTGGTCCAGCTCAATGATCCAGATGCGAAGGGTGCCCAGACTCCCATTCCCATCGTAGTGTCAAATTCTGTCAGCTCAATCATAGCGGGCTCTGACATTGTGTAACATACTCTATTGTCTCGTCTCTCATCCATCGTGCTATGCTCTGTTGCGGTCGGAAATCGATTCAACTTTCCCACCTGGTCAGGATCATCCCACGGATGCTGCAAAGCTCGCACAAATGGAGTATCTGAATGCAGTCATGTAGGACCCTATCCTCATGAAATCGAGACCCACTGATAATGTTGATGCTTTTTAAGTAATGAGGCACTTTGTCTATACCCTACTGTGCTGACCTCGTTACAACGCACTCCGACTGTAGGAAGCAGCGGGCATATGATCGGCACTAGGTATCTGAACAGTCCATGCCAGCATTTTGGAGCCCAGCTGATGACCCCCAGTGAAAACCCACAATTTTACAGTATATTTCAGCAGTTTAAATCTGCTGTGAGCTATTACACATATTTTGTTTGGCCCCTCGAAGACGATGTCGATGACATCAAGCGTCTTCATGTAAAATGTGGCAATTGAAGGGTATTGTGGAGAAAATGGAAAAAAGTGTGGAATATATAATATTCTCCTGTGCCACATCAAAGTGCTGAGTGGGCGAAGGCAAATATACTCTAATCAATATTTAACTGATGACTACTGTATGAAAAAGGAGGCAATAGGTATACAATAGGCGAGAGCAATTACAGTCTCTCAGAGCATATTGGGTGTCCGGAGGCGCATACCCGAGGTGGGTGTATTCTAGTCAATTGCCATGCATTTATTGTCTATTTCAGGCAATCACTGTGCGGCAGACCCGCTTAGTTGAGCCCTGACTGGGGGTAGCGAGCTCTGACTCTGCGGCAGAAGTCATAGGTAGACGTTTGCATTGACTAATTTAGGAGGCTACGTTACAATTAGGGTTGACCATGTGAGCGAGTCACATACGCATCGAGCTCATCTAGCCGTTAATGCGACTAGCTCTATCTACGTTTATGTAGTCACGATAGACCCCTATAGTCGTGCCACTCTGACTTTTGGAAGTACTCGTTCCGTCTATGCCTCACAAATCAGCAGGAATCCAGTGCCTGGCTAGCCGTCTGAGTTCGAAGCGGTGCCGGCGGACACTTAAGCTGCAGTTGTCCCGTCTCTCGTCTCTCCCTCCTTTATCTCTTGTTCCTTCATTCTGCTCTTGATCTCGTCAACCGTTGTCAATCATTGTCAAGCTGCCCGTGGAGATAAGCACAGCGAAGGCACGACAAGCACGTACGCGGGCTCATGGGAGTTGGTGCTGGATATAAAAACACTGTTTGCTCTGCATGCACACGACGTCTGGATGGTGAGCATTGCCTTATCTACTTGCGGTGATTACCGCTGGGTTACTCTAGTCAGCACGGAGGCCGGCCTGAACATAGAGGTCACAATTATTTCCAGGAACACATACAGGGGTGCTTTGCGCGAGGCCGGCTGATTCGGGAGTACGTTTGGACAACAGTCAATGAATGCGGAGCTGACTTAGACATACGTTCGGGCCCGCCTTGCGTTCCCGTTGGCGAGCACGATGCAGATGTCAACCCCGCGAGCAACCAGGGTGCATCTGCCGTTGCTCTTCTCCTGGATGCATATATTGACTTGTATGCGGACTGAGATGTTGAAGAAGTATGTCAAATGGTAGAAACTGAGGCAATTCTTGGTACGTCTACTGCTATGCTCAGGATGATGGGCATACATCCTAGGGTTTCAGCTCTTTGTAGTGTCTGGGATCTGCCAGGACAATAAGTTTATTTCCGAGGCACCGAGAGGGAGGACGGGGTGACACCGGGACTCTAAGGGGCATGTTACCATGTGTTTCTATCCTGAAACTTATGACAAATTTATGAATATGCATATACGGTGATATGCACTGACACACAACAATCACCAAGGACCAAAGGAAATAAACCTAAACCCCGTGATATGGGTGAAGGCGGTCCGAGACAACTGAAGGGTATTTAATAGTTCGAGGGGGAAAGGAGGAGTAAGACGCCGTAGGGTAGTCCGTAGGAAGACCTAGAAAAATAAAACAAAACCTTGACGCCTGAAACAAACACTAATGGACGCTCCGGAGTATTTATCTCCGAAACGGCGCAAGCAAAGTCACAAACCACGGAACCGAGTGTAGGTTCGGGCCCACGGGAGTAGAAAACACTAAAAGGACTTGTTTAATTTTATTCCGCTATGTGAGACTCACCGGAGCTAATTGAATCGATGGCGGAGATAATTCACTCGACGAGTCAGGCCTATTGGCAAAGCTAGGATCGGTTATAATTCGCTAAGTTCGACGCTTTCAAACTTCTCGGGTCGCTGAGATCGTAATG